CCCAACCGAGGCCCCCAACCGGGCCCCCCAACCGGGGCCCACCCGGGGCCCCATAACCGGCCCCCCAACCGGACCCCCAACCGGCCCCCCAACCGGGCCCCCATAACCAACGCCTTAACTCACCCCCATATGCCCTATAAATTTATCATAATTGTCAGTTTTAATTGTTAATTGTTAATCAAAAACATTGAAAAGATTGAAAATTTATTAATTGTTAATTGTAGATATTTGCGATTAACAATTGATCAATCGTTAATTGCTGTTTCGCAATTGACAATTAATTAATTGTCAATCTTTAATTGCCAGAACAATTAAATTTTGCCCAACACTGGCCAAGTTCGTGTTGTCTTTGCTCGGACATTGAACGAACACTCCAAATCAGTAATTTTATTCACATGAACTACTACGGACCATGAGGTCTAGTTTTTCATAAAACTAGACTTCATGGTCAATATAGTACAATGTACTAAATATTTAAAAGTACTATTTGTATGGAATCGGTACTACTTGATTTTCCTTGTTATTTTACCGGTTTAGGACTGTCATTCTAACTAAATATCCTTTTTTTACAAAACAAGAACTTTAGTTACAATAATGTGTTTAAAAATCCACATTTTAGTACAACTATTTCATATACTCGTACATGTAGGTTGATATTATACATACAGATACCTATCACACCTACCAAAAAATATTATGAGCACTTACTTTTTTGCAAGCTTGTATATGTGAGATTACGTAGATACGTAATACAGACTTAGAACGAGCTGGCAAGGTTCAATCGTGCATCCCACTCGAACTTGTACTAAAAGTAGTGAAAAATCGCTATATGTCCCGCTCGCACCGTTCCTACTGAATAAAATACAGGTGAACTATCAACCCAGACAGTTCCTAGTTCGTACTGAACTAAAAGCAACTATGAACTATTAAAACCGTGCAAGACGAACTAGTTCATGTCGGTCAGTGTCTGGAATATACTACTAATAGTTCGTAGTTCCTGAAATAGACAAGCCTATTTGACAGTGACATTTCTCTGTTCACATTTTGGACATCGCAATGTGGTTCGTAATTTTAGAATATTTGACAAAGCATCAAACCGTCAAACACGACCGCAGACGATAAAAAGTTTGACAAACACGTATTTGACAAAATAATTAATTGATCGTTTACGGAGAGCATAATACTCTTTCTTTTCTATGTTTTTCATTATCAGCTGAGGGCTGAGTGAGTTCGAACTGCTATCGAAAAGAAAACAAATGCTCTAAAGATTATACAAATGTGTCTATAATAAAAAAGACTTTTCTTCTATAATTTCGCAATATAATACAACAAGCAGGCAATAATTATAAAAATGTCTACAAAAGGCGCTAAGGTCGCGGAATTATTTACTAAAGCTATGGCAACTACAAAATGTTTCGACCAAAATCTACGCCAGGTAAATATTGTTTAGTTTCATAATTGTTGTGACGCTGTAGGGCCTTACTAATATAATATACAGATTAAAATATCTATCTACCTCCTTATAGAGATCATATTGGACCAATCACTTTACAATAGTATGTATACACACCGTAATGTAACTAATAAAATTAGTAACCATTTAGCAAACCATACATTTAACAGTCCATATAGGTATTGAAGTGTTTGCCTACAAATTTTCAGGTGAAAGTTGTGTGTTGTGCCCAAGGGAGGATGGTCACGGAGTTCAAAGTGGGTCCAGAGCACCTCAACCAGCGCGGGAGCTTGCACGGCGGCTTCATCGCTCTGCTCGTCGACGCTATCTCCACATATGCACTTACAGCTAATGATAAAGTCGAGACCAGAGGACTATCTATAGACTTAAGTGTGACGTAGGCACCTTTTCCATCTCTTCTTTTATTATTGTTCTGGAGTATTATTAGTATGCATTTATGTTTAAGTCTTATGTGTGGCTATAGAAAATAGGCATTTTGTATTAAAACCCTTATTAAAAGTGCATCTTGATGAAAATTCATATTCAACATACATACATTTACGACCTTTTCCCTTCAAGATAGGCAGAGATCACTGCCTTCCACTTGCTACAATCCTGACACACATCTCCGCCTCATCGAGACGCACCAATGCTTTCATACTAGCTCAGCTAGAGTGCCTTTTAGCAACTCTTGACCTGGCCTTTCTTTAGGACATCTTCAATTTGATTGTGGTAAGTTGGCCTATTCAAGATAATAATTGGATTCACAAATTGATCTTGATTTAGTAATCAAGTAATGCACATAGGGTTGAATCAATAAATGCTTGTCACTAACACTGAAGGAAAATATCATCATTATGTTGTTTTATTTAAAATAAAATTGTAGTGTTGCAATATCAAAATTGTGTAATAAGGAAGATTTATAATTAAAAATAATAATAATTGAATTTATATCTACTTTCAGATATTTAAATGCAGCTAAAGAAGGGGACAAGATTGAAGTGGAGGCAGTAACCAGAAAAGTAGGCAGAAAAATTGCATTTCTTGATGTTGAATTGAGAAACAAAGATACAAATAAAGTGATAGCTACAGGTAAACACACAAAATATGTAGGAGTATGAAGATGATTTATATTTTTTAGTTTTGATTTTGTTATAGTAATATATATGTACAATGTATTTTCAAATAGATTTATCTAAATTTCTATGGTATTTCAATTCAAATTATAAATAAGTACTTACTGTCCTATTGCACATTGTTTGCCAAAAAATTGCAGTTGTTTTCCAACTATAGAATAAAACAACCTCAGGATGTCTGCGCTTTATTTGATTTTAGCTACAAGAAAAATTATTTTACCTTCTCATTATCTGACATAACTGATACATTTCAGCTCCGATGATATACTTATCATAAAGAATAGACGTCAAAACCCTGGTTAAATAGACATTGATTGAATAAATATGTATTGTTATTAATGGAATATAAGACTAGTATGCATTAATATGTGTTTGGTGACATTAGGTTTGGGAGCTAATATTTCAATGAGTGAGCAAAAATCAGTTTATGAAGTTGTCAATACCTTTGTTTACAGTTGATTTTGGTACTCTCTCCCAATACGCCTAACAATACACATGCATTCGGATTATGCGTAGCGTTGAACTTAAATACATACATACGCTATTTGATTTATATATAAATCGTGGTCAAGGAATTTAAATTAAAGTAAATTTTAAATTAAATGAAAAGGTGAGGTGTTTTAAAATAATTTAAATTGTTTAAATTATGTGTACCTACATAAAAAAATGTTACCAACAAGCTTAAATCAATTACTATGGATCTATTTAAGTATGTTTGTTTTTAAAATTAACAATATTTCGTTAGACTAGATTTTTGTGATAAAAATAAGTATTTAAGTAGGTACTACAACACAAATTTCAAGAATTTCTTTACATATTTTTTTTGGAAAATGAAACATTCAACTTAAGTAAAATATACAAGTTAGGTATCTTAATTGGACCACGTGGACAAAACCTTATCAACTAATTAAATAGAATAACATTTTCAATGACTTATTTTTAATATCTAATACATGAATGTTAATAGAAGAGCTTAGAAATCTTCGTAGCCGCTATGGCAGTTTTCTTCAAGATATTCAATTCTCTTCCTTAGCATATCCACAGTCTTCTCCAAATCATTGTGCGAGTCTTCCAGGTTATTGAAACGATTGTCTTCCTCGAAATTAACATTTTCATAATCGGCACTTCGACGAACACGTGCCGGTCTCTCATTGTCGTTACCATCACATGAAGCGCAGTCTGCCCAGTATCGTAGATCCATAGAAGGCAAATCTTCGCAAGAAATTAGTCCATCTTGTACCTCTGGTAGCAAAAATACATTTTCTCCGATAGTGTCAATATTATCGCCGTTATCGCATAGAACGCGAGCCAAACTAGTTCTTTTTAGTTGACGAAGTTGATCTGCTTTAAAGATTGCTAGATTTTCATACCAAAATCTGTCTCCATCTCTTAGTCTTCCGAATTGTTCTAGTAAGAGACATCTGAATAAAGGTCCCACTTTCCCCCCTTCTACTTGATCTTCCAGTATTCCACCCACGAATACATCAATATTATGTACAGATCCATATAACTCTTTCAGTCTTTCTCTAACTTCTGGATTAGAAATTTCGTTAGCCAAATCATCAAATGTATTAACATCTGACATTTTACAGTATTCCCTCCATTTGGTGTACGGCGGAAGCGCATGGTCACGACCTCTTTGAATGTTAATAGCAGCCAGATCGAGAGCGACCGCATGTGCGTTATAGAATAATTGCTCAGTTAATTCCGAATTGAGATTTTGAGTAGAAGTTTTCAGTTTTGCAGGTGTAATAAACATACCTCTCATTAACGGATCTACGCCGCCTTCATCAACCAATCTCCATGGCGCGAAAAATGCATTGCGCAATGACAAGTTACCCTCTATTATTGGATCGAAATTTTCATCGAATCGCTGCAGTACCGGATTGATCAAAGTGTGCCCAAATCTTAAAGCAGCTGTCGCAAAAACATTAGAAATTGAAGGATTTAGATCAGGATTATAGCCTTTGTATTTTCCTAAGTCGCGGTGTACGTTAGACCCTAAAACAATAGGTAACCAGTGGTCGTAAGTAATAACCTGCATTTCAGCACCAACAATTTTTCTTGCCTCTTGGTATACTTTATCACCATCCCAAAATGGATTCAAAGATTTCAAAAAGCTAGCAATTCGATTGTGTTCTCTCATCCAAATAGTATGCATGGCCGCGAGTCCAACTTGTTCATTTGCTCTTATATCACCGGCAACGAAACAGTTCCGGTTGCTTTCCTCTAGGTTTCTTCTACAGTCCATACCGTTAATTCCTACTGTAGGCAATAATGGTTTCCTTCCGGGAAATACAGCACCAACTCGTAATAAGCCATTGTCGTTTGTTAAATCCCGCAAATCCTCAGCTACTGTCTTTTCGAAACCATAAACCTGGGATGCATCAATAAAAGAAGTCAGTTGATTAATCTGCTCCCTTGGCTGTAGAGTTCCAAATAGCACCGAAGTCATGCCCGAGCCGCAAACTGCGCTCGTTCGCAGAAAATCAATACAGCGTCGATTTGTTATTCGAGGGTCATTTACGGGTACATCGATAGGGAAGCAAGGGGCTGCGTAGACACACGTTTTCTTACAATCAACACCATCCCAACTTTGAATGCTCACAGGAGGTAAGGCATGATCTAAGTCGTGATCTAGCCACTGCCCCCATTGCATTACCATGTGGGTTATTTTATTGTCTTCGGTTATTTCATTTGTGCTGATAATTTCAGTTGATACTAATCTAGCACTGGGTAGAATAAATCCATTGTACTTTATGTTTTTGTTCCATCCTACAGGATGACTAAATCCATTTTCATAAATGGGATAAAGAATTCTTCGGAACCCCGTCAGTGATGCTCCCCACATAGGATGTGCAAAGTTGTTACATCTGCCATCAATACTGCGATACTTTATATGATAACACATGTCAGAGCAGTTCATATCTTCGCGATGTGCAACGCACCCAGACAGTTGTGCGATTAATTGCAAATGCTGTGCAGATAACACGTGATGATAGTTAAAGGATTCAGTAATGTTTACTTTCAATCCTGATTCCACAAATTGTTTTACTTTATCTAATGTCCGTTCATATATTTCAGCAGCACGAGCGATATTTCTAGCTGCAAAGTTGGGAAACCTCGCTATTCTAAATAAATCATGTATATCGGGTGTACTTTTGTTGTTAAACAACTGCTCTACGGTTCTGGCAATCGCTTGATCGACATCGCGCGTAGCCTCTGTCAGGGCAATATTGACATATTCATCTCCGGGCAATAAATGATCTTTCACAGTTAAAAAAACTGATGCCGTATCGCGCCCGTATTTGTTGGATACAGAACATTCATATCGCCCTGTCTCTCGAAGAGTCACATTGTTTATAAGTAAACTACCGATGAGAGATATGGACATCCTATCATCAGGTGTAACACGAGTCCCGTCTTTTCTCCATTGAATCTCCGCTGGCAATTGACTTTCCACCTCACAGGGCAATGCTACAGAAGTTCCTTTGAAGGCATCCGTGTCCTCAGGCTTTGTTACTATACGCGGGGCAACCATCGAAATATCTTCAACATTGAGAGTAGCAGATATTTCTGTCAGTCCTTCAGTATTTTCGGCTCTACAATGATATGTACCCGCGTCATCTATGTTAACTTCAAAAATGGTTAATTTTTTATTATCGTCGCTTACAGCGATATTTTTACTAACAGGGATGGGCATCCTATTTTTGAACCATGAAAGCTTAGGTTTGGGAATTCCTCTTGCACTACACTGCATAGCCACCGTATCTCCAACAACAGCGTCTACGTCGTCAGGAACAATGAAAAATGTAGGCGGTACTGCAAAATAATTAACAATGTTTTATTGATATCTATCAACTAAGTTGAATAAAAACTTGTCTTGATTATTCAGTGTTGCTAATAATTGACTTACGCATAACTTCCAAAAACGCTGTCGCAGTAATGACACCGTTTATATTTTCTGCTTGGCAAGTGTATTGGCCAGCGTCTTTAGGTTGTATGTCTTCTATGAATATGGTGCCATTGTGTTTTAATGATACGCGCTCATTGAGCAATATTTTTTCGCTGTTGAAAAGCCAAGCAAGATGAGGTCTGGGGTTGCCTTGCGCTACACAGTCGAAACTGACGAATGGCTGACTCAGTCCAGCAAATTGATTTCGTGGTAATACACTGAACATAGGACGTCCTGAAACATATTTTTAACAAATTTTAATTAGTCTATATTAGTATTTAAGAAAAATATTTTATTTTCCTTGAAACAAATATTCTACCACTTTCCACAACAGGACTGTGTAACATCATTCTAGCTGGTCTAGAGCGAACTTTTCCTGCAGGATTCCTGGCCATGCACTCAAATATTCCCATATCTTTTTCATCGGCTTTGTGTATCATAAGAGTGCCATTACTCATTACTTCGTAATGTGATTCCTTATCAACCGTCAACATAGCGGAATCACGCAACCATACCACTTCTGGAGCAGGTTCACCTGTAGCTATGCATGTGAATTTTGCATCTTCGCCAAAATTGACAATGACATCTTCTGGACCTATTGCGATTTCAGGATGTCCTGTAATTAAGAAATTAAAAATTTAAGTGAAAGGTTCGACTTCAAAATCCTACTCTGTTTTTAATTATAGGTTTCTTGGTAAGAAGTTTACTTACGGCAATGCAAATTATGTTCCTTCATAGATGCAAGTGAAACGCCAGTCATTGGTTCGGGGCCGTAGCAAGTGGCAACGACTTTCATCTCAGTATGTTCAGCTAGCATGTGCACGAACCACAACATAGCGCAGTCGCAAATGAGTGCATTGCTATCCAGGCGCAGCTTCGTGAGGCGTGGCATACCACGGAAAGAACCTGGCGGTATACGCTTTAATAGGTTGTTGTGTAAATATCTGGAAAAATATAATGGCATAAAGTATATGATAATGTCTACCATTAAGGATTAGGTTCAATTTATATTGTGGCGGAACGGAATGAAAGCGAATTTTTGTTACGATATTGTACGTAGCATAATAAACTTTATGGTTAATTGTGTAACGTACAAACTAGACACAAGCCAATATCTTCCGCGGAATGCGCAATATAAATTGAGCCGTACGAGCATGCAATAGGTATGAACATAAAATCTCCTTTGGCATTCAGCAGGTAGGTACTTGTGTTTTTACATATGGTACATACATAGAGCGCACTATAAGTTTCCGGAACTGGCCACTTACATAAACAATATTTAAAAAGTAATTACAACATTTCAAATTTTCAAAAATGGAACTCTGGCTTCTACAGCCAGAATACAGTTTGTTTCATCTGACTGTCACTTGTTTTTACATTGTGGCGACATTTTTGAAATTGGTTGTCTACATCACCATGTATTTAACTCGTGAAAATTTTCGTAGTATGATTTTCTACTACTAGTGTAAATTAACAGCTCAGCGGAGCTTCGCTTCGCTCGGCGTCAAACTGCTTTTGGCGATGAAGCACCATGCAAGACGACTATTTATAGCTGGTTTGCAGAATTCAAACGCGGTCGTGTGAATCTCAGTGACGAATTTCGTGATGGTCGCCCGTCCACTGCTGTGAACAACAAAAACATGGATGCTGTGCGCCGTATGATCAAAACTGACAGTCATGTGACATGCCATGAGATTCGGGCATCTTTAGGCATAGGCATGTGTCAAACACAATCAATATTCCACAAACATTTGGGTGTGAAAAAGCTGTGCTCTCGGTGGACCTACATAATTTGACTGAGGTTCAAAAAACGGATCGCGTCACTTAATGCAATGCCATGCTTACCAGATTCAACGAAGGGGCGTCCAATTTGGCGTGGCACATAGTAACAGGTGACGAAACATGGATTAATAAATTTATAGTTACAATTCCAATACAAAGCGGCAATCAAGCGATGGGTCTTTCGAGATGAGCCGAAACCAACAAAAGTGGCGCGTGTGCAAAGTGCCTCTAAGCGGATGCTTGCTTCTTTTTTTAATAAAACTGGACACGTGGCTACTGTTGCTTTGGAGAATCGTTGTACCGTGAATAGTGATTGGTACACGACCATTTGTTTGCCGGAAGTTATTGACAAACTCCGTAAAAATAACCGCAAATGCCGTACCATCTTCCACCACGATAATACCAGTTCTCACATGGCCAGACAGACAAATGAGTTTTTAAAGGTGAACAACGTTGACCTTATGAGCCATCACGCGTACAGTCCCGACCTTGTTACAATACTTTGTTTATTTCCAAAAATTAAGAACCAGTTACCTACGCGATCAACGATTTTCATCACCTGAAAAGACTGTCGAAGAGTATGAAAAATATGTTTTATAGATTATCACGGAGGAGTGGCATAAATGTTTTCAAAATTGGTTCATTCGTTTGAAAATATTCTTATTCTTATTCATTCCGGAAACTTAGGTATAGTGCGCCACACGTACCGTCATATATCGCATGTAAGTAAGCTTATGAACCGTGTTTATAGTGAAAAAAAAAACCAACCAGTTTTACCTTAATTTAAATGAACAAAAAATGATATTACATGTAATCGGAATATGTAGGTAGACACTCACAGTCGTTCGAGTCGCGGTAAATTAGAAAACGTTTCTGGTTCTATTTGGTGTATCTCGTTCACGTGAAGGTACCTGAAACAAGCAATTCTTTTTGGTATTCGGTACCTACACTTTAAGAGTCACGAATAGACACAAATATATATATCCAATCTCCCTTGTTCGGTATAGAACAAATTCTGGATTCGACAGATTCGTGATTTGATGTTTGTGGACCTATCCACTATTTTCTAAAGTGCTGGACGTTAACGCAAGAACGTGCTCTGTAGCGCTAATTCAGTAATATTGACGCCAGTTGAGTAGGTACAGTTTTGTGCAGCCCTCAGTTCTGTTTTTAACTGCACAAGGTAACATAAAGGTGCTTTTAGAGCAACAATAATCTCAGTACAGAGTACTAAAAGAAACCGACCTCAAACGTACGTGGAATTACGTCTATTTGCTAAGTTTTATTGAAATATCCCCTATACAGGACTTGACACTGGAGATAATAAAAATAGGTTCTCACTACGGCACTACTCAAAGTATGTCGAGTGAAAAACGCCTTGAATTGGAGAAATAGCAAAATCAACCATTAAAGTAATTGCTCCTAAATTAAAGTTAGGCGCTATGTATAAAAATGAATCTTCATGCGTGAACAGCCACCCTTCGAGGTGGATGATTTTCTTCAAAATGAAATGGGACCACTATGGAAGTACCCCCTTTCCAACAAAAAAATCATGAAAATCGGTTCACAAATACCGGAGTTATCGCGTAACATACATACAAAGAAAAAAGAACATACAGTCGAATTGAGAACCTCCTTTTTTGAAGTTGGTTAAAAAATCATTAACGCCATAATAGTGCTTTTGAGGTGCTAATTTTTATGTCAAACGATCATTCTTTGCATTTGCGTCAGTGAAATATAAAATACTTTAAATTGACAACGATAATTCTAATTTTGTTTTATTGGATTATTTTAATTTGTCGAAGAACTAAAATAATTTCTTTAACCACTTAAAATTATAATACAACGAAGAAGAAAACGTATGTGGTGTAAATTCAGAACGCACCCGAAACTAAACTTATTTTTTTCAAATTTTCATTTTAATCACTTCAATCTTAAGGTGTATTCCAGAACTCTACTCAATACTCAAGTCAGGATTTCAGAATGATTTAAAGCACTAGAAATCATACTCAAGTCATTGCCATTAGGGTCGTATTTCCAGTGCTTGAAATCATACTCAAGTCCTGACTTGAGCATTGAGTAGAGTTCTGGAATACGGCCCTTAGAGCATATAGGACTGGAGGCGTCATCGGTAGACATTCCCCTCTGTCAATGTACAAGCAAATAAAATTTATCGCACAATAAACACTACTTCCCAATCGATGTTATTTCATTTCCACGAATTCACCGCGTCAAGTATTCCACGAAACATGTCGTCTTGCGCTATATAAACTTGCAAAATAAATCTCTGCTGCATCCAGTCAAACCAAGGGTGGAATTACATTTCATACATAAGCCCTTAGAATAATAACGCATAGAAACCTAGCCCGCGCACGCTAAGTGAGGCAAGTTAGAGGCTTCCCAAAGGGCCTACACGAGCGGGCGGGCTGTCAGTGCTCAAGGTCAAATTGCACCGCGAACAGCTCAAAAATTTTTGTTAAAAATGACGAAATGTGAGGTAAATGGGTGTAAAAATAGAACAGGCAAACATAAAATAGACACTATCATCACATTCCACAAGGAAGTAACGCGTTTCAACTTGTATTTTTATATAAATATTCACTAAAACCGAAAATTAATTTCGTTGCAACAAGACACGAAAATGTTGCAAAGTAACGGATTTCTTTCTCCCAATTTTGCTATTCTGTTTCAAAATAATTACATTACCTACGTAATTTTTTGAGAATAGGCAATATCGTGATGGCTGCAGATTTTATTTTTATTCTAATGTAAGTGTGCATTTGACCTCCATTTCTGCAAGTTAAATGCGTACAAATGTTGTTTACAAAGAGCAACTCCTAGAGTTTCTTGCTCATACTTCTCGGGGGAATCTGCCTTACAAATGAGCGGTAGAGTTTAACCAATGTGACGATTTCTAGTGTAATAATGCTTACCTATGAAATAAAGATAATTTTGATTTTGATTCTGGGTATCGTTTACAGGTTATATGAGGGTGCTCATTACGAATATAGTACTTATTTCTAAATCCAAGATGGCGGACACAATTTTAAAAAAATGCAATATGTGTATCCTTTTCGAGGTATTTGGGGATGCTCATTACGAATATGGCACTCATTTCTAAATCCAAGATGGCGGGCGCGATTTTTCGAATAATGGCAAGTTGGGCATCGTTTTCGAGATATTTGAGGGTGCTCATTACGAATATAGCACTTATTTGTAAATCCAAGATGGCCGACACGATTTTTCAAAAAATGCTATATGGGTATCCTTTTCGAGGTATTTGGGGATGCTCAATACGAATATGGCACTCATTTCAAAATCCAAGATGGCAGACACAACATTTCAAACAAAAGCAATATTCGTAATGAGCACCCCCAAATACCTCGAAAATGATACCCAACTTGCCATTATTTGAAAAATCGTGCCCGCCATCTTGGATTTAGAAATGAGTGCCATATTCGTAATGAGCACCTCGAATACCTCGAAAATTATTCCCATATTGCATTTATTTGAAAAGTCGTGTCCGTCATCGTGTATTCAGATATAAATGCCATTTCCATAAGGATTACCAAAAATATTTTTTTGAAAATTCTTGTCACTTGACATTGTCGATCGACAAAACCGAGCACATTTGTAGGCACCTGATCGACAATGTCGGGCAAATCTGTAGGCACCTTTAACTTAATGATGAGTTAAGCAAGATACAATTTCCCCACTTTTGAGGGAAATGTTATTCCATGGCATCATTATTTGTATATTTGTGTGCGTGCCGACAAGCGTAGATACAAGTTGCTTACGCCTACATGAATTTGGTTTTTGCCTCACTTGTGACAGTTCGTTTGATATGAAACTATCATTCTATGCGTTATTATTCTAAGCATAAGCCTATTATTTACATTAATTGCTAATTTTCTATTTTAAGACTTTTTTTCACAATGATCACATTCAATTTATCGATTACATAAAAAATATTTGAAAACATTCGAACATTTGACATGCCTATGAAGTTCCCTATATACAAACAGGCAACTAGTGACAAAAAATGCAGTGCTTCACACTTCACAGACGCTGTTTTTTTCGTTATAGAGAAGCGACGCGCACTTTTAGCTCCAATTTTTATCGACAGATAAAAGATTATGAAAGAAAGATTATGTAACGAAGTTTATTCAAACTGATTTCTCCGTCGTATTGTACATTAAATAATAATGTAATAATTTATAAATAATTAAAATAAATTGTAATTGTTTAATATAAATCATCATAAATCACGCCGTACTGTAAGAAAAAATAAAAATAAAAAGTACATATATAAGTAAATACTTACACACAATACACGTAAATTACAAAAGCAATCGAAATAACCAAATAGCTAACTGTCCTTATCCTGCACAAGCAGTTACGTCAATTTCAATTTTCGAAACATAAGCGATTGAAATATTTGGATTTAGAACAAAGAAACTAAAGAGTTGATTCAATGTTAATCTTATTTAATAAATGTTAGTATTAAATGTGTTATGTGTTAGTACTAACAAAATATTGTTGTATTCGTTTTACTGTTTGGAGTTATCAACCCGAAGTCCGAAAATACATTTGAACGAAATAATGTTTGCTCGTATTTTTGTAATCCCAAATCCCATATTTAGGTTATTTTAGGAATATTCAAAATTATGTACAAAACAAACCTACGCTAACTTAATCTATTCTTTGTAATAAGCTACCAAAATCCCTTGAAAGCATAACGGTTTTGTTATAAATCGGTTTTCGACATTATGAAACTTTGAGTTTAGTTGGAATTTAGAAACTCGAAACATCGATACATTTCTTCCACTACGTCTTATCTGCCAACAGAGAGACACAGCTATTTTCACATTTATAATATTTATATGTAGGTACCCATATATCTGCACAACTCTTGTTACTTGAAGTGAGTACGTATGAAATTCAACATAATACTATAAAATTAATTAATATTGACATTAAGACTACTCCATCACTCTCGTAGTCAACTAGTTTTCACTAAAAGCTAACTATGGTGTATTTTGTTATTTCCAGTAGAAGATGAATATGGATAATTTTTCGGCCTTTAAATTGTGGCAAATAAAATTAAGTAATACTGTAATGACTTTACAATTTAAATCAAATGTTTCATTTTTTTATATTAATATGCAAGTCACTACGTTTGTATAGGTTATCTCCGGCCATACTTGTCATTGGCTCCAACGCTAACCGCGAAAAGCCATAAACTGAAGTTGTTTTCAGTGCATTTTTTCGCGGTTTTTGGATTAGACTCTGGATTGTATTTATTGTCATCCATTTATTGGTAAGTCAATTGGTAATCTCCTCTAGGAAATACAAGTAAAACAATACCTCTGTTACATAATACACTACACACAAAATTGCAAAAAGAAATCCTGAACATCTAATCTAACCAAAGGTGGAATTACATTTCTCTTTTACGTCATTAACCAGTAATACGTATCGACACTGTCCCGATAACTTTCCGTCTCTAGTATATTCATGAAAATTGATTTATTTTTATAGGTCTATTCTGTGTATGGACATGACATCAATAGAGTTGTCGACTTTTGTTTGTTCAATATGGCATTTGAGTGCACCTGTTTGCTTGTAGTACTACCAAAGCCCCCCGCCACTCAAAAAGTGGCAGAAAGTTTTGTTCGAGATAAACGCCAATAGCGCCTCCCGTCCTATAGGTATGCTGTAAGACTTCAATTTCAATACTTTGGATTCAATTGTACTGTAATAAATTGAAAAGAAACATGAGCGAGTCTGAGTCCAGCGGTGATGAAAAACTGATTTGTTATAGTTCAACTATTTTTCTTTCATCTACCATTTTCCTCACTATAGTGAGGTGAAAAGTGGTTGTGTTTCGCTCGGCAGCAAAGTTGTTTTG